AGGCTGGATCTGTGGGATCAGTGGGATCAGGCTGGGTCTGTGGGATCAGGCTGGATCCGTGGGATCAGTGGGATCAGGCTGGATCCGTGGGATCAGGCTGGATCCGTGGGATCAGACTGAGTCAGTGGGATCAGGCTGGGTCTGTGGGATCAGTGGGATCAGGCTGGGTCTGTGGGATCAGTGGGATCAGGCTGGATCTGTGGGATCAGTGGGATCAGGCTGGGTCTGTGAGATCAGGCTGGATCTGTGGGGTCAGTGGGATCAGGCTGGGTCTCTGGGATCAGTGGGATCAGGCTGAGGGGGGGCAGGTCCTGCCCTGGGCTCCCCATGGAATACAACAGAATGCTCCAGGCTGGGGGCAGGACGGGAAGGGAGCTGTGGGGGCTGGATGAGGGGGCACAGACACCTGGCCTGTGTCAGCCACGGCGTGGGGACACGGCCAGAGGTGGCCTTGGCAGCGCCCAGGGCCTTCCTTGGCCCCCTCCCACAGCCCCGAGTCCCCTGCCCCTCCCTCAGCCCCTCTCTCCTCTCTCCCCCCAGGTATTTCTTCCCACGGCAGCTCCTGATCCGCTATTTCTGGACGCCGCAGCAGCAGCGGGAGTTCCTGGCAGTGGACGATTCCATCCGCAGGGCCTCGTACCCGGCCGTGCTGCAGGGCCTGGCGAGGGCCGCGCGTTCCCTGCCCGAGCCCCGGCCCCGGCAGCTGCTGCAGCAGCTCTGCTCCCAGGTAACCCCCCCTGGCTCACACCCTCGCCTTGGGGGGTGTCACCTGGCTCAGGTGTCACCTGGCACAGGTGTCACCCGCCCTCCCGGGGCTCCTGCAGGTGCAGGGAGGTGCCCGGCCCCACCTGGCCCAGCTCTTGGCCGTCAGGAGTTCCTTCTCGGGGTCTGCGCTGGTGCTGAGCGGGCTGCAGGTGGATCACGTGGTGAGTCCAGCTCAGTGTGGGTGCTGCCCCCAAACCAGTCCATGTGTGGATGGAAAGCTGGAGGGGTGGCCCTGAAATCCCCCCCATGTGTCCTGGGCTCACCCCCATCCCACAGGCAGCAGGTGAGGGGGGGCTCAGGTGAGACCCCACCTGCAGTGCTGCCTCCACCTCCCAGCATCAGGAGGACGTGGAGCCTCCGTGAGTGAACCCAGAGCGGCATTTTGGGAAGGAATTCCTGCCTGTGAAGGTGGGGAGGCACTGGGTGGGACTCCAGGGAATGCCCCATCCCTGCAAGTGTTCAAGGCCGGGCTGGATGGGCCCCCCGGGCGGGTGGCAGTGCCGTGGGTCCCACCCCTGTTTCGGGAGGGGTTGGATGTGCCCCAGGTGACCTCCCCTCGTGTCCTGCAGAGGGCCCTGAGCCGGGTGCTGTTCCTGACCCCCCACTTACCGGCCGTTCTCCTGCGGCATCGCCTGCTGAGCCACGTCCTGGAGATCCGGCACCTGGACCGGGCCCTGCTGCGCTTGGGGCTGGGGCAGCTCTCTGAGGAGGAGCTGCGAGCGGTGAGGACCCTCAGCAGCCCTGTCCCGGGGCTGTGGCACCCCAGCTGGCACCCTGGGGCACAGGGGGGGTCCCCCAGGCCCACCCTGGGGGGGTGGGGGTTGCCCTGTCCTGGGAAGGTGTTCCCCCACACAAGGATCACACCTGGAACCACACCCAGGCTCCTCGTGCCGTGGCAGGGTCCTGGTGTGCTGCTGGTGCTCCGTGGACCCACCCCCGACCGTCTGTGTCTCCCCAGGCCTGTTACCTGCGTGGGCTCAACTCCACCCACCTGGGCCGGGCTGAGTGTGGGGCGTGGCTGGAGCAGTGGCTGCAGCTCTCCTGTGAGCTCCAAGGTACGGCTGGGGGGGACACACGGGGGGCCCCCCGAGCTTCTCCGGGTACAGGGAATTCTGGGGTGAAGGGGGCACTTTGTCCCCCTCTGGACTGCCAGGTGTGCCTGTCCCACAGAGCCCTGGTGGCAGATTCCATCCCCAGGGGAAAGGAAATGGGAAGGGGAGGGAAATGGGGTGCCCTCATGCCCATCCCAGTGCTCCCCTAGTGCCCATCCCAGCACTGCCCAGTGTCCCCTGTGTCCCCTCCTGTGCCCACTGCAGGACCCCCAATCTTCTCACTGCCCATCCCAGCACCCCCAGTGTCCCCCAGTGCCCACCCCAGTCCCAGCACTCCCAGTCTGCCCAGTGCTCCCCCGTGCCGGTCCCAGTGCCCCCAGGCTCTGACCCTGCTCCCGTGTTCCTGCAGCGTCCGAAGCGTCTCTGCTGGCCCACAGCATGGTCCTGCTGTCCCTCAACTACCGCCGGCCCTCCGAGTGACGGCCTGGTGTCCCTGCCCTCGGCCTCGCGCCCCGCCCCGGGGATTCCCAGCCCGGGCTGCCGGAATCCCCAAATCCCGAAATCCCGAAATCCCGGCGCTCTGCGGAGCCCGCGCTGGGTCCTCACTCCCCTCGGAGCCCTCGGGAGTGAGCACGACCAGGAGACGTGGCCTCGTTGTGCCAGCAATTAACTGCGTCCCGCTAATTATGGGAGACCGTGAGTGGCTGCCTGGCCCGGGGACGGCTCCGGGGGATCCGGGCGCTTCGTGCCGGAGGCTTTTCCCTCGTTTCTTTTGTGCACTGAACAGTCTTAAGTGTAAAACTCCTAACCCCGAAGGGTTAAGAGACTCCCGCAAATCCCCCCTCGGAACCTCGGACCTTTCCCAGGAGGATTCCGGGGTTTGTCTGTCCGGAGCAGGCGGAGGGAGGGAGGAGGGTGGGAGGGAGAGAGGTGGGAGGGAGGGAGGGAGGGGAAGGGAGGGGTCGGGGCTGGGAACGCCCCCGGGGGGGTAAGAAGGGCCGAGCGGGGGGATCCCCGGGCTGCCTCCTCCTAATTCAGCCTGGCTGGAGCTGATTAGACCTTTCCCCCTCTGCGTTTCCCACCGGGCAGTGGCGGCTCCAGGGGGTTTAACCCCCCGCCCTCCACCCCGCCCTGCAGGAGGAATTCCCAAACCTCCGCGGTTTATTAAAAGCCCAAAGGAATCAGCGGCTCCCGTGTCTTTTGGGAAGGGGCTTTGGTGGTGCTGTGTCCCACTGGGAATGAGGACACCTGGAAAATGTCCCTTTTGAAGTCCCTTCTTTTTTTGGGAATTGGTGGCTACTCCTATGAGGAATTCACTGTGAGGGGATTTAACCCCCTTAAAGCCTCAACTCACTGTCTAATTTGACCATTTCTTTTCTTTTTCCACTTATATATTCCCTTTAAATACAGCGTTATGCGGGGCAGGAAAGGCTGGGGAAAAAAAATCAGTAAAATTGCAGAGAAGCTTTGGATTCCCAAAATTTGAGAAACTAAAAATGAGAAAGCCAGTGGGAGCTGGGGGGACGCCCAGATTTCAGGGAGCAGGGGACTTTTAGAAACACGGGATCGAGCAGGACCCGGCGTTAGTGTGGATTAGATCCAATAAAAATGATATTAAAAGGCAAAGATCCCCTCGGGTTGCCCCAGGAACAGCGAAATCTGGGTAAAAGTAGAATAAATCCTGTTGCTTATTGCCTTTTTGGGAAGCACCGTCTGTCCCCACGGCAAGGGATCCATCGGGAGCTGTCCCCACCTCTGGGACACGGGGCTGTGGGGAGCAGGGGGTGGAAACTACAGCCAGTGTCACCTCGCAGGCTCTGTCACCCCTCAGCCCGTGTCTCCTCTCAGCCCGTGTCACCTCAGTCGGTGTCACCCCTCATCCCCTGTCACCTCTCATCCGCTGTCACCACATCCTGGGCCCCGCCAGCCCCGGGGGGGGGGGGTGGGGGTGACACGTCCCGCCCCGTCCCCATCCTGTCCCCGGCGGTGCCACGAGCGGGGCCGCGCAGTCCCCGGGGTGCGGTCCCCCCGGTGCAGCCCCCCAGGGTGTCCCCCCGGGGCGGGTGGCGATGCTGCCGGGGCGGCGCTGGCGCCGGGCGGGACCGGCCGTGCCGCTGCGGGC